GGGTTTAGGGTTTAGGGGAGTCTCCAGCCGCAGAATTGCGGAAAGGCCTGTTCGGCTGCGCACTCCGGTTTTTTATGTTTGATCCGCGGGTCCCTAAATTCGAAATCCCTTAAACCCACCTCTACTGTAAGCTCTGGATGCCTAAGCCCTAAAACCTTGAACCCCTAAAAAACCCTAAACCCTAGTGAAATCCATGAGGATAGTTCTCGAAATTACGGTCCCTTTTGGGGTTCCTTTTATAGCGGTGCCGCGTCCTTGTGGGTTCCTAAAAAGGGGCCCTAACGTAGAGAACGACCCATATAGAGCCTTTATAAACCTTAAAGAAACCCTTCGAGATCCCTTTAAGGAATCCGCAAAGGGGACTTATAGAAATTTTACAGATCCCCAGATTCGTTTAAAGGAACCCAAAAGGGACCCTATAGAAACCTTGACAGATCCCTTTCAAGGAACCCTAAACGGGACCTTAGAGCAACCTCTATAGATCCCTGTAAGGGATCCCTAAAAGGGACCCTATAGACACCTTAACAGATTCCCAGATCTGTTTAAGGGAACCCGAAAAGCGCTATAGAAACCTTTATAGATCCCTGTAAGGGAACCCGAAAAGAAATCCCATAAAAACCTTTACAGATCCTTTTAACGGAACCCTAAACAGAACCCGAAAGAAGCCTTTATAGATCCTTTTAAGGGAGCCCTAGACGGGACCCTATAGAAACTTCTACAGATCCCTCTAAGGAAACCCTAACAGGGACCCTATAGAAATTTCATAGATCCTTTTAAGCAGCCCTAAAAGGGACCCTATAGAAATCTTCATAGATCTTTTGAAGGGAGCCCTAAAAGAGGAGCCTAATTTAGATGAACTGAGGCTTCCGCTAGCCCTGTGCCCGAGACCCCGGTCCCTGCAACTCGGCTGCGCAGTTTCGGCTTTGGGGAGCTTTTTGGGATTTTAGGGTTTCCTTTTAAGGGTTCCCCTAAAGGATACTAATAAGGGCACTCTGGGATTTTCGGCTACGGCTTGGGGTTTGCGGTTTCGGGGTCTAGGGTTTAGGGGTTTCAGTATTTAAGGTTTCAGGATCGAGGGTTTCGAGATGTTGAAGGGCTTTTTAGGCCTTTTTTGGGATTTCAGAGTTTTGGGGGTGAGGTTCCCTAAACCCTAAACCACAAGCCCTCGAACGCCCCCATGTTGCATCAGTGTGTAGGGTTTGGGGCTGCGGGCCTTCAACCCAAATCTGCTACACAGAGAGCCTAACATCCCTCATTTGAGGAGTATACCTTAAAGTGTAAGGGGCTTCATATGGGTGGTTGTCAAAATT